GCCCAATATCCTACTCCCAATCTGTCCAGGGGAGATTCACTGTCTCCAGACAGGACTCCAGCAGCACACTGTACTTACAGATGAACAGCCTGAAGACTGAAGACACTGCTGTGTATTACTGTGCTCGAGACCCACAGTGAGAGAAGTGAAACCTGAGTCCTGACAAAAACCTACAACAGTGAAAACCATCCACATCTCAAAGAGGAAGTTAAAAAATATCCCTTAACACATTAAAATAGCCATAAATGGCGACAATTACAGTTGTCATGGTTTTCTTCCCTTTACATTTTCTGTCTTTTCCGTAGAGGTCAGTAGAGACACAGAGGAATAAAACCACAGAAAACCTTTTTTCCAGACACTCAGGGCTCGATCAGACAAGTAGAGAGATGTACTGTGTTCATCAGGGAAGACAGATGACTGAAATAACTTGATTTCAATATCATAATTCAGGGTGTTGCATAGTCCCTGTCAAAAAACCAGCTGTAGTATACAAATCTTAGACACGTGTCAAGTGTTACAATATATGGATCAATAATTCATTCACTTCCTCCCATAGTGTTTTTCAAATATTCTAAAACTCTTTAGTAATATTAATATAATTGAGATAGCTGAGTTAGTGAAAGTAAATCATGCTTATCATTTCATTGACATTGATCACAGTCTGCAAAAACCTCATCACAACACATAAAGATCATCTAGTTATGAGCAGCCAATGCAAAGTGTTGTATTAACTAATGCATTAGACTGACCAATCAAATCTAAATGACTCATAGTCAACTGGTGATCATCATTAACTGCACTAAAAATACAGATGGACCTGTATTAACCCTGGTATCTTAAAACTAACTGACAAACCATGCAGTAGAATTGTGGGTGTGAGAAATAACAATGAATCCCAGAGAAATAGCCATTAAAATAACCCAGAGAAAAGGCATCATGAAACACTGAACTGATGTGATTTTATAGATAAATTTTCACTTGCTGCACAATGAAACAACTGAATTTCACATGTTTTAAGCCTGGAAGACTTCTCAGTCATTCGCTGATTTTAATGTCCTGTTGCTGGGTACAGTTGAGCAAGACAAGGCTTCTTTGCTTATCTTACTGATCAGTGCAGGTGTCACGATTATAGTCCCCCCTCCTTAAGGGTGCTCCAGCCCTTTCACTTTAGACTTTATTCTGTGCACCTGATCCCTTTTTCCAGCCCACCAGGCGCTGACGCTCATCTTGGCTCTGCATCTGGTTTCCGGACCGTGCGAGCCCGGGACCTGGAAGCGTCTGGTCCCGTTAAGGTTTTAATCTCTGTTCCCGTTCCCTGTCTGCCGGTTCCGACCTGGTTCATGGTTTTAATTCCTAGTTTGGATGGATCACCTGGCTATGGACTTATTCTTGTGTTTTTGGATTCCCTCTTTGGATTACTTTTGGATTGTTTGCCTCGGCCACACCTTCCCCGTGCACC